AGAAACTTCCTCGGTCGTAATTAATTATATTATTAAGCGATAAATAAACGGTCCAATTAACTACGGACATTCATGTGCACAATCGTTCTGTGCGTCTCTTGAAGTTACTTTAGTTTCGATGGCACCATTGTGATAACATTATTTGCTCTATCAACAATTATAACCGGCGCTTTTACGTAATCACAGAATAATTGGAATTGGCACTTCGACTATCTTTACGTTTATTATCGTGTTAAAATGCGATACAATCATTAATGCACGCTCGCGCGAGTGGGAAAAGGAAAGGGAAAACAAGCGAAAAATAGGGCCGCGTGTGCAGGTGCCGTGCGTAATTGTTCTCTAATAGGTAATCAATTCAGTCGGTGACGATGTAAACAAGTGGCGTAATCATCGAGATACGTTGTCGGAAAACAGATCAACCGTGATCACGAATTTCGTGCTGATGCACGATGCACGAGAGCACGAGATTTGTATTTCCTTCGGTTCCCCCACCGCGACCTTCGATATCGGGAGCCTCTCTCGACACGGTCTTGCGGCCTTCGAGAGTACCGCTCCGCGTTCAAGTTCGTTTTCTACAGTCTCTCAGCTTTTCGTGATTACCCGTACATCTCGCTCGCACTAAGTCTCGCTCTTGTCGGCCTGTTCCATTTCGGAATACTTCACGTCTCTTTGTCTCGTTAAGAGGCTGACTCTAGCTAAAAACCGAGGCTCGATAAGATGACCGATATGTATATAAGTGCAAGTCGTTGAGAAATTATTAACATCATTGTTCTAAATTTAATACCTCTTTTAAAATACAATCAGTAAAATAGATGTCTTTGTTATCGCCACGATATCATATCGATATTCGTAAACGGAATTCCCTTTCCGGCAGTAGTGTCATCTTGTATTTTTATACATCAAGAATTATAGATAAATTACATAGAAATATACAAAGTATACTAGAAGTATATTATATATATATATATATATATACATATACATATATATATGCTTACACAAATTTCTACTTTCTTTATCGTATTTTACGTTTGCCATTGCTAGGAATAAAGTTAAGCCTTTGGGTGGGCGGACCTTCATTACACATTCACAGACAGAAAAGTTTTCGCACAGTGTAGCTAATAAAATGTTACGCTGAGTGCTGCTTCGTGATTTTACTTAATGACTCGATCGCGGCAGTTTTCCGAAATAGACGTAGAAACGCGCCTAATTGTACCTGAAGAGCGCAATTGTATCCGAGGAATTGCGAAATTATCCGGAACTTTACCCGCCCAGGAAGTTTTCGTACTCCGTAACTGTACTTTTGTGACCAAGTCCGGCGGAGTCTTCTTGGCGCCGCTTCAAGTTCCGTGATCACCGTGTATTATTATTGGAAGTATTGTTAGGCAGGTTTAAGAGGGTACCTAGAGCATTGTCAGTGAACACGTACCCGGCGAGCGTCGTCATTCTCTCAAGAGAGAGAATATCGGACTTTGTCTTTTCCCTCTCCCCTCACCCCCTCCCCCTCTCTAGGTACAGTTTTGAAGTGGAGTCCTTTACTGAGGTATTTCAAAGTCAAGTGTGTGTAAGACTTCATACGATGTACGTCATCTAATACGACGCATTTAACTTCAGCGGATATTGTGTAAATCGTGATATTTCTAAAATCAAGCCGTCTCCAAACGGCGCGGCATCTATAATGTTATATATGTAGTATGTCGGAGATAAATGCCGCCATTTACACTAATTGCGTATCAATGTCAAAGTGATAAAAATACCCGGTTATGTGGTCGCGGACCAAGAAGGAATTACGCAAGAATTTCGTATGACATAATCCATTTTTATCATTTTTAATTCACGATCACATTACCGCGATGCTAACTTTAATAATAAATTTCTTGTTAAGTTCACGGCTAATTTTTCCTTCGGGACAAAGCGACGAGAGAAAATTCGTGTTCCTTTAAGTCTACTTTAAATGTAGGAAGTTCCATTGTAATTGTATGCTAAGGATCCACACACAGGATGTATTCGAGGCTAGAGATAGATGTAACGGTTTCCCAGTCTCGCTTTTGTACTTCTATATTTAGCAAACGCGAACATTACGTGTGCGATTGTACGTTCGTACATCCGTTAACTGGCGCCTAGACGGGTTACCCGACCGGTTGGATAAAAATTTGAAAGACATCCGGCATCGGTTCGAATATGTTTACACTCTACATTAGAAAGTTCCGAGTTGACCTTTTGCTACATACGTGACACAGTTAAATGGGGGATATGCAATATTTTCAACGGGATTTATTACGGTTACTCGTATCGATACAATTATCGCATATTAAAAGGTCTCTGCTAATTTTTTTGGCGTCAATAATCTAAAATACCACGTGTAACAAATAAAAACGCCCGAGAAATTTTGCTACGATCAATCTTTTTATAAAAATTGTGTCGCGGCAAGAAACGATCGCATTCTCCGAATAGGTACTTGGAATCTGGATTATTCAAGAGTTAGATATCGAAAAAACCACCGCATCGACATTGTTCAGATGCTACTGAATTATTACGACGTATTCTCGTTAATAAAGTAACGTCTTGTTACAAACGCCACGCGTGGTTTCTCGACACTTTAGTCGAAATGTAAATTTCCGGGAAGAAAATTTAGGCCACACGATATGACTATCTATTAAATGAATATTTTCTTTTTATACTCACATTCCAGAGTGTCTGGAACATTATCCTATTTAGACAAAAATTAATCAAGTCTGTTTTTTAGTTTAATAAAATTGTCTCGCACACTCTTACAATTACAATGCTATCAAATGCGACATTTTTAGTTATATGAAATCGTTATTTGCCGATAATAAAAAAACGACGAATAAAGCACTATAACACAGGGTCAAATGTGTCTGATCCAACCACTTTATAGCACTGCTATTGATTATGCGAGATATTTCTCGTTTAAGAATGCGCGGAAAGGGAAAGAAAGAGGGAAGGCAGCTAGAGGAGTTACGGGAGAACGATCGAAACTTTGGTGCCGATCGAACTTTTGTACGCTGGAAACGGATCAAGCTCGTCTGACTCCGGCAGGCAACAGTTCAAGCGAACAGTTCTCGTTGTCGACTGCGAGAGCGCGCGCGAGATAAATCTGTCATTCACACAACGGCAGTATGCAAAATCTACGCACGGCAGAACGCGATGCACACACAGTACCATCCGCGAATTTAACCGCGAACGTCGCGATACGAGTTCTTTCGAGAACCGCCTGTGCGATTAGTGCTTTTCCTGTCGCGTTTGTACGACCCTCGAATATGCGAATTCGATAAAAGCTATATTTCGATAAGAACGTCATCCAAGAGAGAGAAAAGAGACGCATCGAATTGCTCTTATTGGGACTCATGGAAGAATTTCGTACTCTTTTTTTCGGAAATCTGTTGGATTGTGTTTAGAGCCATATTGACAAATTTAACGATTTTAAAGATCTTGAAAATTAAAATCAAGAAAAACATTTTGTTTTAGTGCACAAGGTTTTTCAAAAAATATCGTTTACACGTTCATTCACATTATAATATATCTAATATATCTAAATATAATAATTCTAGAATTTAAATACTTTTATAATTGAATCTCAACACGATTTTGATGTCAGTAATATGTAATTTTACATAAAATATTGAAATACATATTTTAAAGCGTTTTTCTTAACTTTAAAATTTAATGATGTTTTATTCTTAAAATATTGTATATTGTGTACTTCACGTCAGTGCACGTAATATCACGAGTGATTTGACATAATTCTTGGAAAATCTCTCGTCTTCCTTGATAGAAGGAACTTGGCTAATATATGCATTAATGCTTGCCTAAGATATGCGCTAATTGGCTATGAGAAATTAAGGTCCGACACGAGACGGATCAGACTCGGGTTAATTAATACTGGAAGGCTGCAAACTGAAGGATTTAATCGAATCATCGAAATCTCATAATCGTATCGATTGCGTCGTGCTTTGAATAATACAACGTTATCTATATTCGGAGCTTGGATCGATTAAAACGCGGTCCAACGAACCAGACTTCTTCAAGCGTATTGATAAAACCTACTACTGTCTTTTCTTTTGTTCTGTTACTTTCCACGGTGCTTCATGTACACGGGTTATTTCGGATTACAGACATCATTTCTTCGTGCTCCAGTAATATACTGCTCCGCGATCTATAATATTCGAAGCGTTTCAAAACGGAAATGACACTAGATTTAACTCTAAATAGTTCAACCAAGGTCCATGACCTATGGAGTATTGGACCCAATGAAATATCTGACGCAATTAATATTTTTTCGTTAAGCTATTTTCGTAAAAATACTTTACACTAATTCTGTTTGTTATATATACAATTTATTTATTTTTATATATTATATAATTCTAATCTATATATATATATATATATATATATATTAATTAGAATTAGAATAGAATAAAAAAAAAATATATAATTATATATAATTAATTCAGAAAATTCTATAGAAATTAATCAAATATTTTTCTGTTAAAACTATTTATTATCTTATATTATCCCTTTTGAAATAGTCATGACTAATGCACTCTCGTGAAAGCGTAGTTTCACGACATTCGTTCTTAAAGATTTAAGCAAAACATTTAAATAATGTTTACGGTTAATTTCGAAGAAAAGACGTGGCGTCGCGAAGTCATTTACGGGTTTCAGCAATTTAATGCGATCGATAGGCGATTCACGTACATACGTGCTAATGTCGACACTCGAAAAAACAGGCCGTCACCAAAAGCGACCGACGATCTTGCAAAATTGATTCGTGCCTTCGACGGATACATTAGAAAGTCAGAAACGAGATTTATTCGCCAGTCCGTCACAATTCTTATCATTAACGCGTAAATCCGCTGAAGGTGTCGTAACGTCCGGCGGAAAAAAATCTCGTGCAATGAATCACAGACATCTCACGTTCATTACGTCGATTTCGAGATACATCCATCGAAGAATCTCCGCCCAAAATGCGTACTCACCTGGTAAAGGCGCGTTGAGGAAGGCCTGGTTGCTCGCCACGAGGAACGAGACGATAACGAAGAGGCACCACGCGAGAACGATCATCCTGGATCGAAGTGATGATCCGCGCTGAGCAGCACCGAAACGCTCCGTTCAATTCGGCTTGCCGAACCCGTCCGGCCGATCCGTGCGCTATGTTGATGTCCACACGTCGTTGCTCGCGGGCGCGAGCGGGACTCCCGCGATGTTTATTTATTTCACACACGCGAAAGAAACGAAAGAAAAGAAAAAAAAGGGAGGCACGGCTTCTCGTTCGAATAGCAAACGAAAACACGTTTTTTCCACTCTTTCGCTCGTGCACTCGGCGAGACACGCCGCGCGGACGACTCGGCTTCGCCGACTTCTCCGACCGGTTAGCCAGCAGTGAACTGCTCGTGTTCCTGCCTCGGGTATCGTAATATACATAAAGTCGCCAGATAAGCCACGGCTGACACCCCACCACGGACGCGCCTCGTCGTGGGACGGCCCGTTCCTGCTCGCTCTCTGGTGCGCGCCGCTAAAGAGAGCTTGAAATCCTCGCCTCTCGATGTGAAGCGCAACGTGGTCCCGCTCGTCTCTCCCGTCTTCCTCCCCCTCCCCATCCTTCCATAGAACGATGGGCGTCATGACGCTTGTAATTCTTCATTACGATCGTGTAATTCTTCGCTGTGATTACAATAAGCGTTCCTCACACCCTTGTTAATGAGCTCCGGCTAATGATAGTCATTTATATCTGAATAGATAATTTCAACGTAATTTCAAATATTATATGCAGTTAATGATGTGTATTTCCATATAAAGATTCTCAGGCTTAAATCAGTTTCTGTAATCGTAAATTAATATATCTCTCATATATCTAGATTCTGAATTGGCACACACAGCGTTTTCTTTTCCTCCTCTTTTTGAAATGTAAGACGTGCAAAGTAAGGAGCGGTTTCTGCTGAAGGTCACATAAAACTTCAAATATACGCCAGTGGCGTAATGATGTTCTCTCTTAACAGGTCTCTCGTTGATAGTCGGCAAGTAATAATTGACAAGTTGAACGACGAAAAAAAGACTAGATCAATAGTGCCTGATTGTGTAATAAAAAAGTCGCACAGTTTCTCTCAGTTGTACTGTGGAAATATTAAATACTGCCGATCTCGAAGTGTTAAGGTCACTTAATAATCGGTCGGTGAAACGGATCGAAGTCCTCTTGTCATTGCACACAATACATACGATTGCCACATACTTGCTTCCGCGCTCGCTGATTCTGCCGAACTGCGCGTCGGATTTTCGAGGGCGGGAGGAAGGGGAGGAACGCGGAGACGCGGTTCGATCTTTTAAGGCAACGAACGTGCGAACGTCATGTGAAATCCTCTTTCTCCAAGCTTACCGACGTTTCTATAAGCCCTCTCTTCCCTATTCACATATATGCCTGCTCTCTTCGGGATATTTCTTTACAGTATCATCGTACGATTGAAAAGATTCATCGAGGATAATTCACAAGTCGCGTTTTCAGTTCTTGTGGCTGTACTTTTATGGAGTTCGTACACGAAATGGTACGAGGGAGAGACAACAGATATTTATAATTCTATAAAGTTACCGGAATTATAAATATTTGCCTTTTTCCCTCCTGTGGCACTCTGTTTGCAGAAATAGTGGAAAGATATTCAGAAACTTACGCGGTAATTATAATAACTTCAACGAAAGTCTCGTATATGCTGCTCTAGTACAAAAATTATAGTAAAAATTAGAAAAGCTCAATAAAGCGAAATCATCGATAGTGATGTCGCGTTTCGCCGAGAGCAAATGCGCATTTTTGCTTCGGTGTAAATGAACAAAGAGACGTTGTATAAGTACACTGTATAAATTGTACAATTGTTTCGATAAGATTTGACGCGTATCTTACCGATACGACATAACGCATTCGAGAGGTAATGATTAATGAATATCGTATGATGTTCCCGACGATAAGGAAATCACACGACGATCATTCAATCACAATGACGAAAAGATCTTATCTTTTACGAAACGATAAATGCTGCGTAAAAGAGCAAAAGAACTCAATGAAAATACCGTTGCGTCAGTTTTCCTCGGAAGAATTCACCGCAATAACGACCTTACCTGATGTGTATATTATATCCTGTGCTGTCGCGTCATCCACGCAGATGCAGCGCCGTAATGAGAAAAATGTAAAACTGATTTGCCACCGGATATTTTTACCACTTTTGAAATCCCTTCCGCGAGTAATTGTGCCAATCCGACCGGATCGTGATGATCGACTAAAAATATCAATATTGATAGGCGCGGCGTTCTTCCGTGTCATCGTCCATCCACGCGATAAGGCTCCGCAAACAATTTTTTTCTGCCGCAGTGGCCTTAAAATCGAAGTAATATTGCCTCGATATCTTTACGATCTACCGTCTTATCTACTGTCAGCTTATAATTCATCTTAAGGTCACTGCCCTAATGCATTATTCGAGATACAAGACGTGAGATGTAAACAACGAGAGATACACAAGAATCAAATTAATTCTTGTGATATTAATACATTTTTATATTTTTCTCTCTCCTAAAGTTATTTTATCTTATTTTTATATCGATCTTATTACATCTTATTCATTCGCGTCTTTGAAAACGTCTTGATTATAATTTCAATGCTCTCTGACATCTTTAGAGATCACGTCGATCGGTAATGCTCACATTTTTCACCAAATAGACCTTGACGATTAATGCACATCTTCATTGTTGCGGCTCTTATGTCATTGTTGTGTTACTTATTGTGATGTCATCGCTGATCTAATGCCACGGCCAAGACCCTCCCCGTTGAGAGCAACTTGAGTTGCAAGAAGATTGATTAGACGTTCGTGTTTCGGAATATCGAAGAAAGAATAGGAGATTTGAAATTTAAATACTCTGTATACGTACATACGTATATTTCCGCAGATGTTACAGAGCATTGCGCAAATGAAAAGAACACAGGCGTCACACGCTTTTCAACTATGACAAACAGTAGACGCGTCTTTATTTCGTTGACGAAGATGAACATGAGAAACGTAGCGCGGAAAATATATATTGTGTCAAGAATTATATGACTGGATGGCTCAATATAGGTAACACTCGTGTCGCTATATTCGCCGTTTCATCCCGGTCATTTTTCTTCAAACTCTAACGAACGACGCACCGGATCGGTATATCATTTTCACGTGATCGCGCAACTAAATCATCAATCGTATCACGTTTATGCGTGACGATGTACACAATCATGGCAGTCGTTAAGAGAAAGCGAAATTTGTATATACGATTTATATACGACAATTTACGTACACGAAAAGAACAATTTTGCTGAATCCAGATCTGAAAATAATTTTATTGAAAGTCAAAATGATTGCTAGAATATCAAAACGTTTTATATATTATATAGCAATGCTTATCGGTTTTAACATTCCAATAAATTATTTTGATGATTCAACAAAAAAATTATTTTCAGATCTGTATTTAGCAAAATTTTTAGACCTTTCAACAAAATCGTTCTTTCTGTGTATCTAATAAATTTTGCTGCCAGACAAATTTTGTCTCTTTTGTCTCTATTCACAAATCTTTTTTTATATTTTTCTTTATTTTTATAGTTTTCAAGGTTTTATGTCCCGATAATTTTTCTTCAATCAATTTTAAAAGTAATTATAGGAATAACGTATAATACGCTTGTAATGTTCTACTATAATATAAAGAAATAAGTTTCATATTAGGTACTTGCAAAACTTTTCATTGATTAAAGTATTTCATGGCAGCACAAGCTTGTTCAAGAGGAAAAGTTCATCGAGAGAAAGAGTCGTTCTTCTTTAATTCTAAAAGTTATAATTCTCGAACTGATTAATTATCATCTATAAATATCATTAATTTGCATCGGTATAAATTTAAAACTAGACAGTCAACTTTAGACCAAGGTTTTGTCGCCTGACAGAGTCTATATATAGAAATTTCTGTCCTCCCATAAGCAATGAAGACGACAATTAAGTCATCGAATGAAATAATCGGTTCTGCATTGCGTTATTTATCGCGCGTAGCGTGCGGAACTTTGATCCAACGGGCGTCACATTTGAATTTTCATTTCTCCAAGTCGCGTTTAGTTGTCCGCAAATCCAAACGTCACCGCATGCCGGCAAATCACTGCCACTGAATTAGCATAAGCTTCTCGTCTGCATGTGTACGTGCAGTGCACAGTCGCGCGATCGTACGCGTTAATTCCTAGCCAAGTATTTCCGTTACAAGTAAAGCCGGGACTTAACATTTCATACACCTTATCGTAGCACCAGAAACGCACGTTTAGCTGGCTAATATAAACCACTGCGCATAATAGACAGTAAACAACATACCCTTGTAATAATAATTCGTGGAATTGCGTGTACAAACGTGTGCGTCAAGCAGACGCATTGTCTATGCAGTTGCACGTGCATCAGTATTTTCAGTTTATCATACGCAGCTACTTGTTGCTATTCCCAGCAGGCGACGAATGGATTGACATATATTATTGCTTACGCATACAGCACGAGGAATGAATCGCTAAATTGATTCTTCTAAGCTTTATTGACTTGTTGACAGGAAGAATCTACGCTAAACTTGCAACCGTCGTGAAAAATATTATATGAAATAAACAAATTCGACAATAAAAAAATTCTCTTTTTGACAACGGAAGTTGACTTTTAGTATTCTGGGATAAATGAATGGATTCCACACACTAAAAGTGAATGACCGAATAACGGAATACTTTTTTTTATCATGTCACTATATCAAAGATGAAATATTTAAGCTGTTCTTAAATTTTTAACTGTCCAAGAGGCCAATATGGGAAAATACGTCAGAGTTGTATAAAGGCTTGCGATCAATGTCTCTCTTTCTCTCTCTTTCTCTCTTGACAACTCCCCTTTTCTCCTTCATCCTTTCATAATTCTTCCCTCCTTCACGCGATTACGTGAGTGTCACGCGTCGAGGCTAACTTATGCGACACTTGACACAGAGCTACTGGCGGTAACGAGCTACCTGGAACGAAACTAACAAGCATCTCACATTTCTATGATGTATCCCGCGGTGTTAACGCAGCGAGCGATACGTCCGCGATGACTCATCACGGTTTTTCAGGATCATCCGCTGCGATGACGGGAGGGATTTCGGGCACCGCGAACGAGCGCTTCTCGTCGTTCCCAATCTCGGTTATTGAGGCTGTCAGGTTGTAATTCGCAGTGTCGGTGTAAAAAAAAAGAGAACGTACGTACTGACGCGCCGGCGCGGCGTATCACCGGATGCCTAATGATACACGTGGATTATGTAAGAATTCATCGGCAAATGAACGTCGAAGCGCAATTAATTTCTTATTAGAATTTTATCTTTTTTTTTTTCTTGCATTTTATAGCCTGTTGATTCATGAATGCAAAACGGAAATGTATGTCCGTAAATGAGAGGTATCGCTAACTGACGCCGGCTATCGCTAACTGACGTTCGACATCTGCTGTCGCAGTTTATTGCCATACGTTTCGCGTTATACAGGGTGCTTGG